CAGAATGATCTTAGAGACTGGTTACCTAAACCTCTCAATGAAAGGAGTAGGAAACTGAGGACCAGGAAGGTAGAGAAAAGCTCCAGGGCAGAATTCAGGGCACAGCTGTGGCTCATATCCTGGCCTTTTGAGATCCTAAAATTATACTATTTCTCCCCCTCTATTCTGGTAACTCACTTTCTTCTAAATAAGAAATATGGGAAAGTAAATGACCCAAATTCTTCTTTTGGTTTAATTATCTTAACTAAAAGTTACTATGCATGAGGCATATTTAAATAAGTTTGTTAACAATGCAAAATAAGAGCTCTTTAGATAGTTTTATCAATTTATTTATTTATTTATCTTTATTGTTTTTTCTCTTTTGACAGAGAGAGAGAGAGAGTGACCAAGCAGGGGAGGGACATAAAGAAAGGGACAGAGGACCCCAAGTGTGCTCTGTGCTGACAGCAGAGAACACCATGTGGGGCTTGAACTCCTGAACCGTGAAATCAGGACCTGAGCCAAAGGTGAATGCTTAGCCGACTGAGCCACCCATGTGCCCCAGTTTTACCATTTTAAATTAATAAACTGAACCATGTATTTTCCTCCCGTCCCTCCTGAAAATACACTAAAAATATTTAAGAAAAAAAAAAAAAGATTAAGCAAAGAAGGACTAAAAGGACAAACAGCAGGAAAGATGATCACAAAGTGACATGTGAAATCTGGAGGACAGAAAGATTAGTAGCAGATGACAGACACTTAGCCAGATTTTAAACTAGGCATGGAATATATACAGAGAAAACCACACAAAGAATCACAGAAAACCTAGGGAGTTTTAGGCAGCAGAACTCTCTGAAACTGGGTTACAGATCCCTTCCCCTGTCTCAGAAGTAATAAAACATCTTTCCCCACTCAGGATAAAACCAGTATTTTCCTCTCTAGAGAGCTTTAGCAAGGGAGATAGGGAATTGAGAAACACGTGGTTCCCACTGAGGATATGGAACCATACAGAAGAAGGAGATTAAAGAAAATTCTTTCTGGGGCACCTGGGTGTCTCAAACTATTGAGTGTCTGACTCTTGATTTCATCTCAGGTCATGGTCCCAGGGTCGTGAGATCAAGTCCAGCATCAGGCTCTGTGTTGTCAGTGTGAAGCTGCTTGAGATTCTCTCTCTCTCTAACAAAATTTTAAAAAAGGAAAGAAAATTCTTCCAAACAAATGGTGAGATGCTATAGCCTTCCTCTATTTGATCTGAGAACATTGGCAGCCAGAGTTATGCCCCTTAGGTACGACAGGGAATAAGCTCTCTCTAGGGAACTTAACCAGCCCCAGAGAAATACTTAAAGACACTCAGAGTTGGGTATTTGACAATTAAAAAAATGTCTAGCCATAATATTCTACAATGAAGTCTGGTAATCTATAAGGAACATCATGTGCAGAAACTTCTAAGAAACTATTTTAGTGACCCATGTTTTTCTGAGAACAAAACAAAAAAAAATAGATTCAGGAAGTTGAAGACTAGCAATAATCAGAAGAAAAGTGTTTTTAAAAAGTGGCTTAAGAGCTTTAGAAAAGGAGGAAAACTATTAGAGCAATAAAATTAAGTGGTACAGAAAGCTGTAAGAAACAAAACACAGGATTATGAAAAAGAATGTGTTCAAGTTAAAAACCTGATGGTGAAAACATAATATTTAAATAAAATATTTGGAAAATAAAATATAAAAGATCCCTAATTCCTCTATTCACTTGTTTGTTTAACACTATTTAATGAACTCTTATTCTGTATTTGGTGCTGGAGATAAAGTAGTGAAGAGACAGAATTTCTTTAAGGATTTTTTATTCTAGTAGGAAATAGATGACCAAGGTAAAGAAGTGAAATAGTGTACAGGTAGTGTTAATAACTAAGGAGAGAAAACAGGAAGGGGGATATGAGATTTGGGAAGAGGACTGGAGTTGTAGAGTGAGTAGCAAAGGGAGAGAATCTTAAGCAGGCTCCACACCTGGCACAGAGCCTGATGCAGGGCTTGATCTCAGGACCATGATATAATGACCAGAGCCAAAATCAAGTGTCAGGTGCTTATCTGACTAAGCCACCCAGCCAACCCCCAGAGTTCTTATTTAACCCCAAAAGGCACCACCAGCTCCAGGGTCTCAGACATCAGAAAAGAATACATTCCAAGGCACAAGGAAGTATTTTGTTAAACTCTGGGAGGACTGGATAATATAAATGATATTTTTGGGAATCTCTATAAAATCAAATTTTACATTTTTTGAAATATTTTCAAGAAAACAGTTATATTTCCAAAACATTTATTATCACATTTGTATTTATTTTTAGTAATGAAAATTTTATATATCTTTATCTTTTTAAAATAGATATTCAATGTTAAAAAAAGATTGATGAAGAGAGAAAGAGCATTCCTACTATATTTTTAATACTAGGGGTACATTACAGTAATGGAAAAAGTACCTAACAGGAGAGCTCATTATTTTTATATATAGTAGATTTCAAGTAAGTGCTAAATCCATTTCCCCTTCTAGCAAGTATTCATTGAAAATACTCCACTTATGGGTGTATGAAACACTTATGGGTGTTTCAACTTAGCTCGTGATCTCACAGTTTGTTTCATGAGTTCAGGCCCTGCATCTGGCTCTGTGCTGACAGCTCAGAGCCTGGAGCCTGCTTCAGATTCTGTGTCTCCCCCTCTCTCTCTGTCCCTCCCCTGCTCTCTTCTCTCTCCCTGCCACCTTCAAAAATAACTAAGCATTGGGGCGCCTGGGTGGCTTAGTCGGTTAAGCGTCCGACTTTCGCTTGGGTCATGATCTCGCGGTTCGTGGGTTCGAGCCCCGCGTCGGGCTCTGTGCTGACTGCCAGCTCAGAGCCTGGAGCCTGTTTCAGTCTGTGACTCCCTCTCTCTCTGACCCTCCCCTGCTCACGCTGTCTCCCTCTCTCTCCTAGAAATAAATAAAACATTAAAAAAAAATTTAAAAAATAAATAAATAAGCATTAAAAATTTTTTAAATACTCTAATTTTAAGGTTATAAAATTTTAACATTTATCTCTTCTTAATAGGTTAGATACTCTGGAAACACTGTTAACCACCATTTTTTTCTTAGCTTAAAGAATCATGTAGGGACATGATAGGTAACATGACAGAAATATATTACTTGGAGTAGAGTACAGAGTAGGACTTAATAAGTGTCAGATAATGAGTAGAAATTAAGAATGTCATTGTTTCCTATGGCAGTATTCCAATACTAATGAAAGAAAAAGAGAAACAAAGAAAAGAGAGAAAGAAATAAAGACAAGCAAAGAAACTAATTAAAGGTAACTCAGAAAGACAAAACTAAAGTTATAAATGACTATGAGAGATACAAAGTAATCAGGAATCATCTCTTCCATAATTCTTGCTCTCTTGCAGAACATAGATGAGAATGTTTGTATTATTTTGGAATTTTGGTTAAAGTGTTCCAAAGGATAATGGGTATAGCCTTAGACAACATCCCTTTAGTCTTACAAAGTGAGAAGTCCAACCTTATTATCCACCTTCATGTAAAACAGGCTAGGGTTTTGTTAGAAATCACCTGATTGTCCTGGCTTGGATCATCATTTTACAGTGGCTTGGGTGTATGTGGGGTAAGGCAGGTGAAAATCTGGCTAACAAAAGAAAGTGGACAGGGTTATGGATAGCAAGAGTAAGGCGGTAGCTTTACTGAAGGTTGCTGTAAAGTCAGAAGAGTGCCCAGCTGCCCAGGACAGGCCAGTAGCCCACTACTCCTTAAACATCTCTGACTATGGAAAGAAACAACTCAAGGGGGCAAGGGTGAGATCAAATCTACATGGAGTGTAGGAACAGCTTCAGCTTGGAAACTAGAGTCATATAGAGTTAATATTTCAGGTAGGTCATCAAATTCTCTTCCTTAAAAGTATGTAGAATCAGGTTTTTACCTTACCTCTTGGCTGAACTGCATTGAAGTTCTAAAGAGCTCATCACTGAGCAAGACAAAACAGTTTCAGAAGCCAAAATATGTCACACACATATATACAACTCTTTCATGTACTTAATACGTTGTCAGTAGGCTGACTGAAACAACTGCCCATGGAACATGATAACTTGAGTGTGCTTAATTTCACTAGACTTTGTTTCTTGGAGTCGGTATTAAGAGTACAGATTAGGTTTAGCTTCTCAAGTATACTTTTTCTTTGGGAGCATGGTTTTCCATATAAAACTTAACGATGAGTGTAATCATGAAAATGATCACTGGCTTCATTTCAATTTCTCCCCGAAAGCAGACACCAAGACACCATATTGAGCACTAGTAGCTTATTTAAGGAGTGATAAAGGAGCACAAATGAGGAACTGGAAAAGGAGAGGGAAAAAGCAAAGGAAAATCCAACAGGTTTGATAAATAGCGATTACCACTATGGACATCTGGGACGAGAATGGTCTCGTTATTGTCCTACACAGAGACAAGGAGCACTTACTCTAATTGGTTGAGGTGGCTGAATTGTACACTGCAGTTTCAAGTAAATTCAGAGGAAGCTGAGAGTATTTAGAATGAGGAATTACATGCTCGCTATAGCCTATCACTTGCACCACACATATTTATTCATGCCCCACATTGCATACAATTGGCTACTGATAACTCTAGCCACTGGCCAGACAAAATCTCTCTCTAAAAAAAGAAAAACAAAATGTAGGGGAGTCGTAAGAAGCTAAAACTCACTACACAAGCTGGAGTTCTATGGCTCCAAGAGGTTCCAAGATAGTAAGTACTATTCATCAACTGTCTTCTGTCACCTATTCTAGATTTCTTTTTCCCTTTGTCATTACTTCTACTTATCCAGGTTGTTTATCCAGTGGAATGTCCTAGATTTAATCTCTGAGAAGTATGAGCCCTTAGATATCTAAGATTGCTGCAATTGCACATTGACTATTTTCACTGATTGCTGAAACATCAAGGGATACCATAGTGATTTCTCGCCTCCAGACATACTCTACCCTTTCTTCAATACCTACTGGCACTCTTAGGTCCCTAGGTCTTCGTGCTTATCAGTGTTGATTACATCGAAGGCTACAATAACTTATTTCCTGCTGCTCTGTAAGAAAGAGCAGACTTTTTAAAAAACTACTGGAGAGGCGGCACTATTCAATAGGCACAGGTTGAATACAAACCGTATCCTGTATCAAATATACTTTCATGTTTCCACCCAGAACAATCATCCTTATTTTTAGTACCTTGGTAGCTTCCAGATAATGTGATAGGAATGCATGCCCATCCTATCTGTTTATTATAAAATCAGCCTTTGGATCTAAGTCAGTGTTACAAAGGATCACATTTGAAGGAGACATAGAAACTCTGTACTCAGCTCTCCCTTCCAGGAAGAACTCTTCGCCCATCTGGAAGTAAAATCAACAGGTAGTGCCAACTATCAGTTCCCATCAGCTGCCTGAAATAGTTAGTATTTACTGATTTAACACTTTGTACTTGCTTCAAAGCTGCCCAGTGGTTGGCAAAAAACTTTGTCAAATAAACTTCATAGTTGAACTTCTTTCCATACCCAACACAGCTTCTCTTTTCCTATTTTGATAGGTTTCAGACCCTAATAAACATCTTACACTCCTCCAGAAAATCCAAGGGAGTAAAATTAAAGAAGAAAGAAAAAGAAAAAAAAAAAGGAAAAAGAACCCCCCCAAAAGGGCAAAATGTTTATTCCTCATCCTGCCCACTAGTCTACATATGCAGAGATCAGAGAAACGAGGTAAGCAGCCATAGTTTACAAGTGAATAGGACTCTTCTTGTGCTTCCTGGAAAAAGGCTGCCCCTTCGGGGAACAAGAATCTCAAATCATGGAGAGTACAGAGTTTCAGAAACAAGAAACAAAATGTCCCCCAGTGGGTCATTTGAAGTGATGTTAAGTAAGACAACTCCTATTCCACTGCCTCTACTCTTTCTACTAGGGCCAAAGTACAGTATTAAAGTATTTGCTACAAGTAATATATTGCATACTGGAGGAAGGATTCCATACACTTGCAGAGTATTGCCCATAACGTGGCATTTGAATTGTTTCTTTGGTTGGATATCCCAGTACTCTAGCATCTGGACATCTGAGTGGTGCAGTATGTGGTACCAAAGGGAGATCCCATAGTCCTGGGGATCTCTTCCATGCATCCCTTCCTGGATGTACTTCCATACTTCCACTGAGAGAAAAAGGATCCCTTTGTCTATTTTGATACGTAATACCCCATGTTGGTAAAACAAACACTAAGCACACTGTTTGAAAAATGGTGGGAATTGGAGCCCTGCGAGGATAAAAAGCAATTGCATATTCAGAATGTGTCTTTTCCTATTTGAATAAATATATGACCTTTCCAGATGGAAAGGATTCAATACATCAACTTTCCAGGCAGCAGACAACGGGAATCCCTGAGGAATGGTACCCTCTGGTGACAGTCAGGTGCGCCTTGGTATGAAGGAGTGTGTGCTGTTAGGCCTACATATAGCCTCCTTCTCTGCCATCATGACCACTTAGGGGAGTTCTGGGTTGAAACAGGTGCTCATGTCTGGAAACTGGACAAGCAATGGGGACTTTATATTAGAAAGCCAGCACTAAACCTTTAAGATGTCCGTCCCTACCCTCTTCTGCTGGTACAAACCAAACAGTACCTGTGCTGGCTGTCCACCTATTTTTCCCCTAGGGATGACATACTCTGTTAACCATCTCCATAACTGTCGGCAGCTAAACCCCTCTGGCCACCCCTCTTACCCTACCACTCTGGGTGATGAACTGCATCCACCAGCTGATGGAGGTTAAGTGATCCGAGGCAGCCTCCATTCTTTTTTTTTTTTTTTTTTTAAAGATTCGGTCACTCTTGTAGTTACTTGTGAGCCCCAGTCTATCTTCTTGGTCTTTTCATAAATACCATCATCTGACAGGTTTCCATTTGCCCACTTCACTGAACATTTTATTACTTTCTCCCACCAAGTACCACCACAATGCCACCGTATCTACTTCTCTAGGCATGAGCCATAAGTTTTTCCAGAGGTCTTTACCAAGGCACTTAGTTCTTTATCCCAGGAGAGTTGTTAACTCAGAATGCAATCCCACTTAAACTGTGGTGGGTCCTGACAATTCATGATGGTTCTGTTTTGCAGTTTTTACAGGGTATAGTAATTGTTTTTCCTTACTAGACCTAGAACATCCCTGGATGTCTTAGGTTATAACTCAACCCTAACTTAAGGTCTTAGTGGCCAGAAAGGGCAATGGAAACTAACCATGAGTGCCATACATGAATTACAGAAAAGAAGCATTTGTACTCTGGAAGGGCAATAGGAAAATTCTACCTCTTAACAGAGAAGGGTACATCATTCTGTGCACTCAAAGACTCCAGAGGACTATCAGAGTTCTTGATTTGGAAGGACATAAAACATTCCCATTTTATGTAAGTGGGCCCCATGCTTTCCCAGCTTAGGTCCTGACCGTAGCCAACAGATTCTGCTTTTGCTGAGAGTTTAACCTGTATTGGAAATTGTCTTCTCTTCTAATTAGGACCTAATCTGATTCTCAACATGCTACTCTCTCCCACTGCAGGAGAGGCGAGCCTCTTTATGTACTACCAAGGGAGACTGCAGATACTCTCCCTTAGCTCATAAATGGAGTTAATCACTCCCAGTTTTTCCAGCAAAACAAACAAAAACTAAAACAACAAAAAAGCAAATGGAAACAAACACACAAAGATTTCCTAACGCAACAGTGGAAGTGGATGTGGGTGTTCACCACAGGCTGTTCCTGCCACCCTAGAATATTCAACTGTGCTCAACATCTCTTATCTGGTCAAATGTTTTAGGGTTTCACTTACTTCCCTATCAAGGCCTCCAGTATCAATACAGGAGGCATTGATGGCTATGGATCTCATCTACTTTATAGCTTCACCGCTCTTACAGTGAAATCTTGGACCTAAATTTTAGCATAATTTTCTCTCTTGCTTCAGTTGATGAGGTTAGATTTAAACATGGCTGTAGATTTATCCAGCTTTTCAGGTATGCTCTGAGTAAAGAGCTGGTTCTCCAATACCGTTGTTACCTTTTTTTCAAAATATTTGAGGCAGTTAACAAAAGACCGTCAGGGGCACAGTCCTTATAATCACCACTGGTGACTGAATTGCTACAGCTATTGACTGTATAAGCCTCAACTTACCCTTCCTTCTAAATATCATCCCAATGTATCACTCATGGGGTTCATGGGAAGAAAGGTGCTATCATACCGAATGGTTAGTAACACTAATTATACTCACTACCAAAAGGCATTCCTTATTGCCACCTGACTAATGAGTAATTCATTTCCAGAGTATTATTCCACTCTTCTGCGTAACTGGACCTTTTCCATTACAAAGCCCATGATGTGAGAGAAAGCCTTTGAGAAAAGATGCAGAAAGATTCATGAACTTGCTGTAGACAGCTATCACCTTGCACACTGTCTGCGTGGTTACTCACGGGTGAAATAAAGTTCTATACGGTGGATATCAAAAGTGCTTCCTGTAACCACTTAATCATTTCTTTTTAAAGGATAATTCCAATGTACTGCTTGAACATGCTTCAACTGACCTTCCCCGTAATTTTTCAAAGAGTACATCTAAAGATGAGATAAATCAATTTGAATATGTAGTTAACCCACTATTTATACCTGGCTTCATGATCAATTCATAGCACAAGCTAAACTGTGTTATGTGAACTAGCCCACACAAAACCAAACACCCAAACAAACAAAAAAGTGCTCTATAAAACCAAACCTGTTGCAGCGTCTTAAAGTAATTTAACCTGATGTAGTTTTTAGTTATACCTTCTCTTAAAATGAGTTTTGGAAGAAGTCTTTTTCATTAAAAGCCAATCTACTCCTGTGTTCAAAAAGTAGTGTGAAAGATGATACACAGCAAGTAACACCTGATTCATTTCCGACATTCCTAATGGAAATTTTATAACGCTAAAAAATCAGTAAAATGTAAGTGATGCGACCGACAGTGAATTTCCATGGAGAGAAGAAAGAATAAATGATCTGACTGTATCCTTCTGAACCACTGCTTCAAGCCATTCTTTTCCCAAAAGTTTCAGTCCCTTTTACAAGATACATAGAAAAAGTGAATGAAAGTATTCTAAGATTAGCAAATAGATTTTGGAAGGAGAAGAATCCTATAAATAAGATATCTTCTTACAGGCAGATAATCTGAAATCCACATGTAAATGATAATAATACATTTTTCTTTATAAGGATTTCATCAGAAAACATGTAAGTGGAAGTGCATCAATACTATGGGGTTTTGGCAATGACAAGGATGAATAAGACTTACCAATGTTCTCCACTAATGCCCTCAGAGCCATATACTTTATCATTCTATGAAGAAAAATGGCATATCTACTTTCCCAAGGGATATTCTACTTAAAAGGAAGGTCCTGGACTGCCAGTAATAAAAAAATAGTATGTTTATATAACCTGTCTTATAAATAAGATTGAGAAAATTAAAATTCATAACCTTTGCACTATCTTCTTTAACAAAGAGCTTAAGAATATAAATGAAATGGAACAAGGCATAGCTAAAATTGAAACCAAAAAGGAAATTCACAAAAGTCCAATAAAAATAAAAACCCCGCTTCCTAAAAATATTACTTCTCATTAACATAATCTCCACAAATTTATTCCTTCACTTTCTGCAATACATTTTGCATATTATTTTCTTCTGATTTCCATAGAAACAGCACTAGTTATCTCATCCGAAGATAATTACAGTCTCACATTTGCTTTGCTCACTTGTTGCTTTTCCATTGATTTTCCATCTGGCCCAAGCCAATACTTTCATAAAACTTTGGAGAAAAGATAAAAGAAAGCTTTCTTTTGCATATCTCACTGATACCTTGCGTTCCTATGATTTAGTGAGTTTCCAATCAAAGGAAAAGAGAAAAGGGCATTTGGTGTCAAGTGAAAAGAAACAATGGATTTGAGATGACTCACATGTATTTAGAAAAAAAAATGTAGTGACAGTTTATGAAGAGCTGAAAAATATCTAAAAATGTGAAATATAAATATTTACAGCACAGAAAAATGCTCCAGAACGTCAACCTTTCCATTGGCCCATCCATGAGTTTGAGACCAATCCTCTCAACTGTGCCACCCCTAAACCTAGAAAAAACCATGATGCTAAATCATTATCTGTATAATCACTGCAACAAACCTATTCCTTCTATTTTATACTAACACACACACACACACACACACAAAGAAAACAAAAGAAAAAAAACCCTCAAAAATAGGTGGTAAATAATTTCCCCCAAAGCTGGGATTTCTAACTCTAAATCTTTATGCAATGCAATATCACCTTCAATCTCAAAATATTTCTTCCAGCATCTCATTCATTAATCATTGTCAACTCCTTATCTCATGGGCCCATTCACCTTTTGTCTTTTACTCTTCTTTCTTTGTGTTGACCTACACTCAGCTGTTTTTACAGGTGCTTGACCACCCTAAAACTTGTGCAGTACAAATTTCCCTTTGCCTTAAGAGGAAGATTATGTGGATTTCAGCTTCAGATACTAGCATCAATCATTTTTCTTCTTGCATTGTGTTTTCCATTTCTAAAGATAAGATCAATACATCTTTTGAAGTGCTCCTAATGACCTGACAAGTTGTTAAATTTACAGCAAAGAGAGGATTATAAGATTTTCCTTTCTAAAGCATTTATAACATTTAACTCTATCCAAAGTGTTTTCGCCACTAATGATTATATCTGTGCCATAATCTGTGGATTCAGAAATGCAGGTAAAATGGTGGCCCTTGAGCTTATTTAAATCTTTTCTCAAAAAAAAAAAAAGCCAACTATACTTGCTTTATAACCACATGCCTTTCAAGATCCAACTCAAAACATGAACTCATTTTTTAAAATTGATTCACTATGTGAGTAGAAAAAATAAAAGCCTAATGAAAATGTATGAATGATAAATATATTAAAGTCCACAGAGAATTAGTTTTCCAATTTTAAGTTCTTACCTATAGCTAATATAGAAATTATTTTCCAATTGTTAGTTAAAGCCTCTGTAAAGAAATTCCTTAAAAAAAATTTTTACTCTGAAATTGCCATTTCATTTGCTTTGCCTGCATCATTGTTAAACCTGAAAATACTAACAGACCAGCCAGGAAAACCTAAGGTATATCCTCTAAATAAATGAATATTTAAACCAAGATTGTCAAAGAAAAAAGCCCTGATGGAGGCCCATGCATCAGACTTATATGTTTCTACACTGTGTAAAAAATCAGCGACCATAAAAAGACCAATATATCAAGGCTCATTTGCAGAGTCACGTGGGGAAATAGATTTATCTCATTTCCAAATTAAGTCCTTTCCAGTGTTACTGTCCCTTGAAAAGGGAAGAAGGCTATGGTATCTGTCTTGATGAGGGAACAGAGAACAAGGTCATTAGAGAGGCTATCCTCATGGTGCTCGTAATGTTGAAACACTACCTTCTGCAAAATTCACATCGACATTATTTTATTGAAAAACAGATGAAACCAACTAGATCATTGTCAGTAATGAAAATGATGAAAATGTTGCCAGAATTTACAAAATAGATTCATTCAGATTATATATACAGTGAGCTTTTAAGTCAGGAAGAAAATCAGTGACACAAGGAATATATAAATTCAGCCATTCAATATGAAGAAACATCAACCTAATGCTGCTTTTTTTTTTTTTTTTTTGGCCTGGTTCTGTTCCTTCCATCACTTATGGCTTTGACAAAATTTTAGAAGAGCAAGGTTCTGAGGATCACTTTATTAGAAAAGGAGGAAATAATGAAGAGGTAAGGGAAACTGGAGTGGTGATAGAACAATCTCTCTAAAGTACAGAACAGCAGGCAAGTAAGAATACAGTTTGACTGTTAGCCAAAGAGAGTAGTTTGAATCAAAATAACCTAAGGAGGAGAGCAGAAATTTGGGGAGGCTTAAGACAACTACACAGAGCCATGTGCTGAAATCTTCTGTAGAGATAGACCTAAATGCCAGAAGAGGGTTGAAAAATTATGGGACATTCTTAGTAGGGGAAAAATTATAGAAAACCAACAAGAGAGGGATAAAAGAATGTGAGAAGTATATGTTAAATTGGTTGTGATCACTAAGATTTTGTAATTTGTTTAGGTGGAATTCCTTCAAGTAATTATAAAATTCAGTGGTTGGCTGTGCTGGCAAACGGCTGAAATAGCTCAGATGAAGCATCACTAGATTTGAGGAGGGATTGTGAAATGTGCAGGTTCCGTGAGTCATCAGTAGGGAGGTTGCAGTCATCAAGGTGATAAAATATGGTCAAGAAGACATGAACATTTGAGACAGATATGGAAGCCCTTAAGAAAGAGATTAAAAGAATGAGATGAGTCATTTCAAGAGGAAATTTAATTTTGAAAGTTCTAGTCATGTGTACTCTAAAAATTAATTGGCAAAGGGATTAGGTAAATTTCTCTCCTTCTTACTTTAAACTAAGGTGGTATTAGAGAACTCCTCACTTAGACTCTTACTATATAAGAAATGGGATTAGCAGAGCAATTGTGGCTGGGAAATTTAATACTGTGTGAATAATGTTCCTACCCTAAAAATGTGGTGAAGGACTTGAAATTGTGTTCTCAGGATATATTATAGTTCTTCAATATAAAGTATTGGGAGGGTGTTCTGATTAGCAAGAAGAGTGATTACATAACAGATGAAGATCATTAGTTATTGGATTAGGACCATCCTCCTGTGTAAGTCTTCCCTTGGTGACATCAGTAGGCATAAAAGAAGAAGGGGAGAGGAGAAAGTGTAAGTAGAAGGTGTAAGGAAGGAGTTCTGCAACAGAAAGGAGTTTCTGATAACAAAGTTGAAGGCTTCTCAGAGGGTTACAGTGAAGGAGGTGTAGGAATAGACAAGAATCGGAAAGGCCTAGGGACACCTGGGTGACTCAGTCACTTAAGCATCCAACTTTGGCTCAGGTCATGATCTTATGGGTTCATGGGATTGAGCCTCTTGTGGGGCTGTATGTTGACACTATGCAGCCTGCTTGGGATTCTCTCTCTCGCTCTTCCTCTCTTTGCCCCTTCTCCACTTGCACTCTCTCTCAAAATACAGAAAGTAAAAAAATAAAACAAATTAAAAAAAAAAGGGCAAAGCCTAGGTAGCATTAAATCTAGAAATGAAAAAAGCCACAGTGAAGTAGAGGGTTGGATGCTGGCTTAAAAAGCACTTAGCAAAGTTACCTCTTTGGAGGTGACTAGTTTTTATTTTTATTTTTTTTTTACACAGTTTATTGTCAAATTAGTTTCCACATAACACTCAGTGCTCATCCCCACAAGTGTCCTCCTCCACGCCCATCCCCCCTCCCCCCCACATCCATCAGTCCTCAGTTTTTTTTTTTTTTTTACAAATAGTTTATTGTCAAATTAGTTTCCACATAACACTCAGTGCTCATCCCCAAAG